GGATTTTTTTATATTGCTGAGTCATAATTGTCCAAAGCTTCTTCTAGTCTGTTCATTTTATCTAATGTATCAGCTAAATTATCATCCATTTTGAATTATACCTTTGCAATTATAATATTCAGAATTATCTGGATGCTTTTATATTGCTGAGTCATAATTGTCCAAAGCTTCTTCTAGTCTGTTCATTTTATCTAATGTAATAGCTAAAATATCATCCATAATGATTTATACCTTTATTATAATAATAGTCAGAATCTTTTGGATTTTTTTATATTGCTGAGTCATAATTTTCCAAAGCTTCCTCAAATCTATTCATTTTATCTAATGTAATAGCTATGAAATCATCAATAGTTAATTGTACCTTTGCATTTAAACAAGTCAGCATTTTCTGGGTTTTTCTAAATTGCTGAATCATAATTTTCCAAAGCTTCCTCAAATCTATTCATTTTATCTAATGTAATAGCTATGAAATCATCAATAGTTAATTGTACCTTTGCCCTTATAAAAGTCAAAATTTTCTGGGTTTTTCTAAATTGCTGAATCATAATCTTACAAAGCTTCTTCAAATCTGTTCATTTTTGATAGACTATTAGCTTAAATATCATTTATTTAGAAATATACCTTTATTAAAATACTATCTAGAATCTTCTAAATTATTTTTTTTTTCTGAATACTATTTTTACAAAGAATTTTTTATTCTGTAAAGCTTTTCGAAACTATTTCTCAAATTTTAGAAAACATCGTCGAAATTAATTTTTATGTCATAATAATATTCTGAATCTTCTGAATTTTACTAAATTGTTGAATCATTATATTCCACTGCTTCTTCTAATATATGAATTCGACCTAAATTTTTTTTATTTTTTTTTTTCCTTGAATTATGTGAGATCAATTTTTTTCTCTTATTTAATCTTATTTTCTTTAACTCTTTTTTCAACATTCTTTTGTTATTTAAATTTTTAATACATTTTTTATTAACTTGATCTTGAGTTTGATTAGGCTCTAACCCTTTCTTTAAATATTAAAAGAGATTATTTTATTCTTTTGAGAATTCCTTCAAATGTCGATATCATAACTATTCATAATTTTCTGTAATTACCATCATTTTTATGATTTTCTTATATTAATTCCATAAGTTTTTAAAAAATATTTTAAATATTCAAGTGCTGTCATTGAAACAATTTGTAATATTTTTTGAAATCACTTTAGTTGTAAATTCATTTAGATACTCATTGAAATAAAAATATATTTTGCTCATGCATAATATTTTAAGGTATTTTCAAAACACTTATTTGAAAATTAGAACCTGGGTTTATAGGATGATTTTTTTTAGTATTTGTAATTTTTTATAGAAAAAATTCTTTGAGACATTAATTAAGTAGTTTTTCATTTAGAAAATTTTCGCTATTTGAGAAAATTGGGTTAGAATACCTTGATTTTACTAACTGGGTTTGGTCTCTCTCCCATAAACGTGAAAGATATCACTTCTCTATGTTATATCTCTATCATTTACGCGAAGGCAAAAAATCCCAAGTGGCGAATTCCGGAAGACCTTCATCCACAAATACCCTTTTTTGCTTGCCGGGTTTGGGTTTGGGGTTTGGGTTTGGGTTTGGG